TGTATGCGCGTTGAGCATCCGCTTTTATGGCCAAGCTTGCACGCTTAAAATAGCATTATGAACAACGCGCAACGCGCCACTGACTTTAGACCAGTTTTTTTCTGGTCAGTGGCGCAATTGTCTTCTGGAAGTGTAAAATAGCACCAGGGAAATTTGCGCCGAAACACGCCTCCTTTTTGCGCCGATCCGCCCAGGGAGCGCAAGTTCATTCCCTAGTTTACTGACGTGCGTCTGTGGAGGGGAAAATCCCGCTTTGCGCGCGTGCAAAATAGGAATGAGACATGCGTTTGCTGGGTGCAAGATAGGGCCCTAAGAGTTGAAAATTAACACTGAACTAGTCACATATCCAACCATCATATCTATAGAACTAAACGCCTTTCTAGACTCTGTTTATGAAATACTTCTCTCCCTTTTGCACCGTGAAATGTGGAGCAAAAGTGAGTTGTGCATCTGTAGAGGCAGTGGGCGGAGCCTACACGAATATTCATGAGTTTCCCGGGCATGCGCGTGGAATTGCTCATTTTAGTTCATGCTTCTCGTTTCTCAGCAGGTTTAATGGATTATTTCCAAAAAGTAAATATAGTTTCATTGCGAATTTAAACTACAATTGTGTATCGTTTCGTAAAAGGCAATATGTTTTTATTAATTTGCACCATTTTGTGCATTCGTCAATGACTGAATGATTACAGGCATTCACTTCATGTAGGCGTAAATAAAACACAGCAATATTCAACTCATCGTATAAATTGCACCTTGCGAGGCTTTAAATCTAATTTTAAAGAAATTCTAATCTAATTTTAATAAATCTTTTACTAATTGTTATCATTTGTTGATTGCATTAAAATTAAATTAACAAAATAAATAAATTATATTACTAATAAATATTACTAACAAATTATTAAATAAATAAATATATACATTAAATGTATCTGTGGTCTAACACTTTTTTTACAAACATATTCTGGTGTGATTGTTCTTAAATTCTTGTTCATTTAAATAAGCCAAATCATTTAAGACCACACACAAGCATGAATGTGTTGCTTTAATACTTCTTACAATTTGGATTAAAAAAAAATGTACATTTGTACAAAGCTACAATCGATGCTGCGCTGCTCAGCGCATTGGGAACGTCTTTAATCGTGACCTGCTGTGAATATAGTGTGTAAACACGTCGATGGAATCGACCGGAAGTAATATAGCCTCGGTTGGTGACGTCATCGGCGCGCACCCACAACAGGAGGCTATAAATAGATGAACCGCAGGTGCATCGTCAGGTTTTTTTGTCTTCAGAGATCTCACTGTATTGGTGTGTGCAAGAAGCATTATTTTCTACTCTCTCTGGTACAGATCTTTTGCTAGGAGTTATTTAGCTTTATAGTGACAGTGTGCAGAAATTTCACTCTTTCTCATCCAACGCATTCTCATCCTTTAACGTCATATAGAACGCTATATGCAAAAACGGCGCTACACTACGCACATGGCACCCGTTATCGTTAATATAACGTGCTGTGAGGGCTAAGTTTAGGTGTGGGGTAGGGTCTGCGTGTCATATTCACGCTAAAGGATTTATAACGTCTTGGGTGTTATATACGTCTCGCGTGTTATATTAACGATAAAGGGTGCCATGGCTGACGAGCAAGAGACGGGACCTTCCCTTTCACTTGCTGGTTCGCCAGATCCATTCGTTCCCTCGCGCAATCTCAAAGCGCATCTTCTTTGGCTCGCGCGGGGGGGCAATGATGAATCTCTTGGGTCTGCGGACTTCGAGCAGTCATCCTCTGAGCATTCCTCACGCGACGATAAATCTGTCGAGGATCTTCTCGAGGTGGTTACACACGCGGTGGCCAGGTTGCAGCTTGACTGGCCTCGTGAACAAGAGATTCCCAAACGCAGTAAGCTTGAGGATAGGTTTTTGTCCAGTGGCAAATGGGAGGGACCTCAACATCAGTCTCTATCGACTATCGTGGGTGCAAAGGCGCAAGGATATGCGGAGATGCCCCAGGTTGAAGTGACGCTTGCCAGCTATCTCTCACCTGGGTCTGCATCTTCACTTAAAAAACCTACCTTCCCCTCCAAGCCATGTAGAGTAATCTTCACTTGTGGGTAAAGCTTATCCAGCTGCAGGTCAGGCTGGTGCTGCGCTACACACAATGGCTGTGTTACTGGCGTACCAGGCTGACCTCTTGAAGGACCTGAGTGTGGGCAATTCGATAGATGAGGAAGCGTTTTCTGAACTGCGCCGGGCCACAGATCTATCTCTCCGTGCCACTAAAGCACGGAGAGGGATCTGTGGCTCAACCTCACGGGCATCAAAGACAAAGAACGTGTCTTTCTTCTTGACTCTCCAGTCTCACCCTCTGGCCTGTTTGGCGACTTGGTCAACACTGTTGTCAACAGGTTCAGGGAGGTCAAGAAGCATGAGGAGGCGTTTGTTCAATTCCTTCCTCGCCGCACTCAAGGCGAGGGGCCATCGTCCACCCAACCCCTCCTTGGTCCTTCAAGACCCAGGGAGGTTAAGAAGCTGATCGTGGCGAGTCGTGCCCCTCCAAGTAAGAACTGGAGGCAGGCTTGTCAGGCTCAGCAACCTCCCAAGCCAGACCTCAGGACTGTCATTAATAAGAAGAGGAAGTCCTGATGGTTTGGCGCCCAGTCTGGTGGGATGGCGAGATGGGGCGCGTATTACATCTGACCGCTCCATCTCGCTACCCCTACAAAACCTCTCCATACCCGCCACCTCTGGTGTTTCCGGGGGCAGCGGTTTCCAGCGAAGTGTTAGATGTTCCGTTGTTCCCTGCTTTCATTCAGGGCATGGAACATCTAACACCCCCTCAAGAGGAAGTGTTAAAATTGATACCACTCTCAGAAAGTCTGACAGTGTGGCAACTTCTGCCAGGTATTTCTGCCTGAGTATTAAGCATAGTACAGATAGGATACCAATTTCCAAGCTTACCAATTTCGGGTTCTTCCATTCGGCCTAGCCTTGTCACCCCGCGTGTACAAAAAAATGCATGGATGCAGCACTGGCTCCATTGCGACTCCAGGGCATTCGCATTTTGAATTACATCGACGATTGGTTAATACTAGCACAATCGCAGGAGATGGCGCTTCAACACAGAGACATCATGTTGGCTCATCTAGTTTCTCTAGGGTTGAGACTCAACATCAAGAAAAGTGTCCTGTGTCCTGCCCAGAGAACAACTTATCTCGGAATTGTTTGGGATTCGATCACGATGCGGGCACAATTGTCCCCCACTCGAATCGAGACCATTCGGTTAACTATGAGAAAAGTCAGGTGAGGTCAAGATCGGATTGTTCGTCAGTACCAAAAAATATTAGGTTACATGGCTTCAGCATCCACGGTGATCCCTTTGGGGTTGTTGCACATGAGACCATTTCAGTTGTGGCTAAAAGCCAGAGGATTTTATTCAAGGGCCAATCCTCAAAGGCAGATAAAAGTGACGCGCCACGGGCTTCGTACACTATCTCTGTGGCTCAGACCCCGGTTCCTCGCTCTAGGGGCACCGTGTCATCGCAGATTGCTAACAACAGATGCCTCCATGTCAGGCTGGGGTGCTGTCTTAAGTGGTCGTCCAGCTCAAGGGGAATGGGAGAGTCATCAGCTCGGTTGGCACATGAACTGCCTCAAGCTGATGGCTGTATTTCTGGCCCTGAGATACTTTCTCCCTCAGTTGAGAGGCTGTCATGTCTTAGTGCGGGTGGACAACACAGAGGCAGTCTCATATATAAATCACCAGGGAGGTCTGCGCTCACACAATTTGAACAGAATAGCAAGGCAGATTTTCCTCTGGGCATAGGAGAAGTTCCTGTCATTCAGGGCAGTGTACATCCCTGAGCATCAGAATGTGGGAGTAGATTTACTCTCCAGACAGAAACTGCTGACAGGGGAATGGAAACACCACCCAAAAGTAGTCGATCATATCTGGACCAGATTCTACAAAGCGGAAGTGGACCTCTTCGCCTCCTTTCAGACAGCGCAATGTCCCCTCTACTTCTCTCTGAGTCACCCAGCCCCCCTGGGTCTGGATGCGATGGCGCACACATGGCCCAATATGCGCCTGTATGCGTTTCCTCCAGTGGCTCTGCTCCCGGGAGTTCTAGCCAGAGTTCGCCAGCAAGTGTCTTGCCTCTTATTGATAGCGGCACGTTGGCGGGACAGAATGTGGTTCTCCGAGATAGTATCTCTCCTCAACGGCTCGCCATGGCCGATTCCGGAGAGGAGGGACCTTCTGTCCCAGGCGGAGGGCACGATATTCCATCCCAGGCCCGACCTGTGGAACCTTACAGTTTTTCTCAAATGCTAAAACACAAAAGCCAATCCTCTAAACCAAATGACCAGTTGTCTAAACACATTTACTAAATCTAGCCATCATTTTCCAATATCAAAAACACATTTCACATGAAGACACAATTCACAAAACACAATCCTCCGTTCACATAAATCTTAACACATTTTTCCTTACTAAAACACAAGTTGCAAAAGAACTCTGCTCATATTCTCAAATGAAAGCTCATGTGATGCAAAATGCTTGCCACAGTCAGCAATATTTGAACAAAATGAACACACCTGGAGTCATTCATTACACACAACGACTCAAAATTGAAAACACCTCTTGCTAATGCTGTGACCACATGTATAAAAGCAAGTTTAAAGTGCACAGTTTGCTGAAGATTCCAAACAAACACAATGGATGAAGGCAGAGTCAGGGGAAGAGGTATTCGAGTCAGAGGAGGAAGAGGAATTCGAGTCAGAGGAGGAAGAGGAGCAGGCCAGGGAGGAAGAGGAGCAGGCCAGGGAGGAAGAGGAGCAGGCCAAGGAGGAAGAGGAGCAGGCCAGGGAGGAAGAGGAGCAGGCCAAGGAGGAAGAGGAGCAGGCCAAGGAGGAAGAGGAGCAGGCCAAGGAGGAAAAGGAGCAGGCCACGGAGGAAGAGGTGGAGGCCAACAAGGGAGAGGAGAAGATCCAGGAGGGAGAGCAAGACAACCTCGCACCATCATTACGGACGAGATGCGAGCAACAGTCATTGACCATGTCATTGTCCATGGCATGACAATGGCTGAAGCAGGACTAAGAGTCCGTCCAAACCTTAGTAGGTTCACCGTGGCCACCATTATCAGGGCATTCAGACAACACAACAGGTATTCTGCCCTACAAAGCAAAAAGGCAGTAACTACGCTGAGTGCAGAACGGAGAAAAATGACTTTAAAGTTATCCTGTCATCCAGCCCAAGTAGTTGTAGGTAGATTTTTGGACATGTGGCTGTTTTTTTACTCTAAATGAGCTTATTCTTTGTACACATCAATCTCATATTTAATTTGATATTTTACCCCTATTTTGCAGTTACTGTATTCTTGCTTTGTATTACTTTCCAAAAACGTGGCTCCATACACAAGGAAAAAAACAGTATCTACAGATTCTAAAAAAAAACTATTTTGCCACAACTTGGGCTTTGGGTGTGTTAGATACACTGTATTTGAAATAATTGTAACCATTTGTTTTCCTGATCATGGATATAGCAAACCCAAACTAATTGAACCATTTTAGGTCAATATTTTCGACCCGGAAGCTGTTCTGGGGTCTCATTTATAAAACTGTGCGTAGGATCCTTACTAAAAGTGTACGTGCGCCTGAAAGCCAAAAATGGCATGTACGCCAAAAAATATTCAGATTTATGAAACGAATGATAATGAATACATGGGACAGATATTTCCAATTAGTAAACATACATTTATTAATAGATTGTAGATTATAGATTTTATATGTATAAATTATTATTATACAATTATTATTTTATATATAATAAAAATAATAATTGATGAACACCACATTTCATATGGTTATTACTCCTCATTACACACAACATTGCTCACAGGCAGGGAATACCAGAACACCCTCCTGTTTGGTGGCATGAGAGGACAAAGATCACTGATGATGTCTCTCTTCTTGACCTCCTCAACCCCTCTATTCTGTGGTCTCAAAACAGTGGGCACCTTCAGCGAGAATTTCTTCATGAGGAAGTCCAATTCCTTAAATTCATTCTCTGTATGGGATAGTTTGTAAAAGAGGCTCTTGGAGCCACGCCGCACCTGAATCTCCGCCATATCTCTAAGCTTTGGTGCTCGCGCTTTCTTGACCTTGACGGTGGAGTGGCCATCCCTCCAATCTAGCACATTGGCATTCTCCAATTTGACAACATCCACCTTCCTGGAGTTGGAGCTTGCCACAACACTCACAAAGTCCTCGAAGTCGTAGACCACACCACCTGGACGGCTCCTCATTTGCTGCTCGACACCATGGTGGAAACTGTCTGCGCTCATGAACGTATGTCCCCTCTCAAAAAACTTTAATGTGATGTCCTCCTGTGAAATGGTGTCACTGTTCACAAGAGTGACGAGTGAGGATAGATGGCACCAGTTCTTATTCTGTGCACTGCAGTTGTCCACCCAGAATATGGTGTGGCGTACATCCCGCTCCTTCTCCAATGCAGTTGTGTATGCTGATGTAATTTTCGCTGCACTTCGCCCAGCCATTCCCTCGTGCCACAATACAGAGATTGTGTTTTTTTGGGGGGGGGGGTTTTCCCCACTGAGGCAAATGTTTCGTGGTATGCAACTATGCGACGAGTAAATACAGATGACTTCACTCCTGGCATGCGTGGCAGCATTATCACCTTCTGGAGGTCCACGCTTCGAACTGATGTCATGTCCGGCCAGTCCCTCTCTGCATCTGCCTGGTAGCTTTGGCGGCTCTCTAGGGCAGACTGCTTATGTTTGTTCCACCTTTGGCACTCTGGGCAATCTGAGCTTTCAGTCTCCCCTTTGTGGCAGGTCACATGTTCAGCATGTTCCAAACAGTCCTCACATTGCTCCTCCCCAAGTTTGGCAAAGCTGATTTTTTTGTCTTTTAAAATCTTCCTGTATGCTTCATAGGAGCAGGCGTTTCCTTTATCCAGGTAGTCTGAATGCATCATCTTTATTGTGATGTCACTTGGCAGGTACCGTCGATTTGGGGCATGCTCCCGTCTGTAAAGGCTCACACAAGGATGGAAGGATTCAATGTGGTCATCAAGGGTCTTCACGTCCATCTTGTTGACTGCAGCCTGCCTGCCTCTCTGGTCCTTGGATGGAACCAGTGGCCTGGTGTTCAACTTCCCCATCATGGTAATGACTAGACTGTCATTTTTAGGATGATAGCCCAATGATGACAGGAAAAACATTTTGCAGACTTGTCTTGGCTCTCCTTTCAGGTTTTGCAGCCGGTAGATGAATGAGTGGCCACGGCGACTTTCTGGGCCAGTTGTTGCTCTTTTGGTTGGCATTGGGATAACTGAGTAAAACATCCATGATCGTCTTTCTGTGTAGGTCATCTCCCAGTATTGACTCCATATCTCCCTTCGTCTTTCCTCTGAAATATAGTCTGTACACCTTTTTCGACATTTGGCACCACATGGCTCTCTCATTGGTGGTCGACGTGATTCCACATCAGGCTGTGGCCCTGGCTGTGGCTCGGTCTGGGGCTCTGGCTGTGGCCCTGGCTGTGGCTGTGGCTGGGGCTCTGGCTGTGGCCCTGGCTGTGGCTGGGGCTCTGGCTGTGGCCCTGGCTGGGGCTCTGGCTGTGGCTGGGGCTCTGGCTGGGGCTCTGGCTGTGGCCCTGGCTGTGGCTCTGGCTGTGGCCCTGGCTGTGGCTGGGGCTCTGGCCTGGCTGGGGCTCTGGCTGTGGCTGGGGCTCTGTCTGTGGCTGGGGCTCTGGCTGTGGCTCTGGCTCTGCCTCTTGAACTTGTTCCCCTGGGTCTCCAAATACCACTCCAGTCAGTGTCATTGTAGGGGATGGGACATAATCTATAATGTCTGTAATATCATTATATAAACTGTCCATGCTGGTGGTATCTAAAGTGTTCAGGATAGTCAACTCCATTTCTTCAGCAGCGGGCAGGACTTGCTGCCTCTTTGATGGAATACCAACATGTGCATCTTAAATGAAAAATAGAAAAAAAATTAGTGGCATGAATGTAAATCCACATCTGTTTGTGTCTGTCTGTCTGTGTACTGCAACAAATTATTATTATTATTATTATTATTATATGGACCTACAGGACAATATCTTCACTCTGATCAATACATGTATATTAATGTCTGTATATTATAATATTTAATTGTACAGGAAAGAACTTCAATTAGGTCCATGGCAAAATAATGCATGAATTAGGCTAACACAGTACATTAATAATTTTGCACCCTTAATGAAAATTAAGAAAGGAAAGCCAAAACACAAAAATGCAGCCTGGCATCATAAGTTACATTAGGATAAAAGCTTGCAGTCATGCAGAGAAACAAATTTTTATAGTTTAATATAATTAAGGGGGTTACAAATTAAATACATACTTTTATATTCAGAAGAAGAAACTGTGCAATAAATAAATGCTTAGGAACAGGAACCAATGTGTTTGAGTCTAAGCGCTAAGGGGGGTGTAAATACCTGCCGGCTCGCTCTGCAAAAGTTTGTTTTTGTTGAAAGCATGGATGCTTACAACAGTAAAGAGAAAGATGTCAGTATTGCTCACTACTCGCTAACTTATCTAAACAGTGGCCGCGAAGAGAGTGTGTTTTAAGTTGAACAGACACCTGTCACGTAACGCTAAGTTAAAGAATAACGGTCACACTGATAGCTGTATTTATTCTCCTGCTGGACAACAACGCCGTGAATGATTAGCCTATGAAAAAAGAAGACGCCGTTCATGTAGGCTGATAAGAGAAAAGAAGATCAAGCGGACTGCTTGGATGTAACGTTAATGGCTTAGCCGATTGCTTTTCTTGTTATTGATTCTTTTTTCAATTTCAATGGATTATAACTTTGTGGCATGAACAATAACACGTTGACATGCATCGGCAATGAAAGTTACTGCTTAGGAGCAGGGAGGATCAGTCAGGGGCAGGTAAGCAAAGCTATTTAAAACATCGCCTGTCTATTAGCATAACGCTATCTGAATGGACCGCTGAGAGGATGTCCCGTCCTGGCGGCTGACGTTTATATTGTGATAGCCTAGCCTCTAAATGTTTAATCTGTCACTGTTACTTACCATTCTTCTGGTATTTTCTCTTCAACGCCAGTTCGACCATCTTCTTTCCCCGGCTTTGTGCCATCTCAAACAAAATTTGTGTGAAGTTATAAGTAAATGTTAAAACCGTCCTGTGAGGATGCCGTAAAATCAGCTGCGTGTTCACCATGGCAACAGTAACTACTACTGCGCAGCAATACGGTTATTTTTTGTTTGGTAAATCATAGCAATAATACAGTAATGGATGTTACTGTACTCTTGCTTTGTTTTATTAGGGCTTTTTGCAGTTACTGTACAAACGACTCACATTTTTCTCCAAAATGACACACATTTGAGATAAGATGTTATGTCACATAACAAAGGATGCCTTGAATGTCATGAAAATGATAATAACTCATTTTTGACAAAAAATGCAGTTACTGCCTTTTTGCTTTGTAGGGCAGTATTGTACTCTATTGCTTTCTTTGTCACAATACAATTTTACAAGCCTGTGAAAGTAGTCTATTGGCTTCAAATCAGTTGTTACTGCATTGTAAAACATGTCAATTGACAACACGTTTCTTTCTTTAGAGTTGAAAGAATGCCACATAGAGGTGGGAGGGTTGCCATATTTACAGCGGCACAAGAAACCCTCATTGTGGATATGGTTCGTGAGAACAACCTCATCAGACTCCGGGAGATCAAAGACAAAGTCATTGCCGATAATGTCAACTTTGAGGGCATTGATGATGTCAGCTTGGCCACAATAGACCAAGTTCTCCTGCGCCAAAAGATGCGGATGAAACAAGTCTATAGGGTTCCCTTTGAGCGAAACTCTGCGCAACACAAAGACCTACGTTACGAGTATGTGCAAGTAAGTATACATCCATGTTCACAGTACAGTTAGTGAACATACGGTGTTGCTCAGTGGCCTACATTACTTCTGGACAATACTATGCTACCTTATTGACTGTTGTTCTGAACACCTGTGCACTTTCACATTTTCACAGAGGATATTACAGTTGGACGCGATGGCCAGACCTCATGAGTACCTCTTCCTGGATGTGGCTGGCTTCAACCTGCAGAAACGAAGGCAAAGAGGCCGTAACATCATTGGCCAAAGAGCCATCACTGAGGTTCCTGGCCAACGGGGGGGGTAATATTACTCTTTGTGCGGCCATGGGTTTGGAGGGGCTTGTCCACCGGCAGGCTGTCCTTGGGTCTTACAACACCCAACGTCTCCTAACCTTCCTAGAGGAGCTCAAAGATATCCTCCTGGACCGCCAACAACACCATCCTGGGCCCGAACATACCATTTATGTGATCATTTGGGACAATGTACCCTTCCACAGAACAAACCAAATCAGAGAGTGGTTCACCACCAACAGTAACCACTTTTTAAACGTCTGTCTGCCACCCTACTACCCTTTCCTGAACCCTATAGAGGAGTTCTTCTCATCGTGGAGATGGAAGGTTTATGACAGACAACCATACACTAGAGAGAACCTCCTAAGGGCAATGGAGCTGGCGTGTGTTGACATCCCAGTGGAGAACTTCCAAGGATGGATCCGCCATTCCAGGGCGTTTTTCCCGCGGTGCCTGGCAAGAGACAATATAGCCTGCGATGTGGATGAGGTGATGTGGCCCGATGCAGCTCAGCAACATGATGCCGCACAGTGATTGTGGTGTAAATAAAATAAATTAAAAAAACTTCACACCCTGATCATGTTTTCAAGAGTACTGTTGTGTGCAATAGATTCTGTTTTTGCATTTATTGTAGTTGTGTTACGGTAGTGTACAGAATTTACGGTAACACTTTAGAATACTGTATCTTACTTACTGCATAACTAATAAGGAATTAATGAAGAACTAATAGGTAATTCTTTATTAACACTTAAGTCACTACTGTTAACTACTAAGGAAGATGTGTTAACTAATCAGTATGTAATATAATTTTATGATTGTGTTAAGTATCAGTTAGTTAATCAATAGCTAATGAATTCTGTCATACCTCCCGAAGAACTACTATTAATTATCTATTAATTAAGGTTCAAGAAAAATAACTATGAAGTAACTGCTAATTAACAGTCATACACAGTATTCAGTTTGTCATTCTTCAGCACTAATAAGAAAAATAAGTGCAGACATTTATCTTAGGCTATGATTTGCAAATAAGCAAAAACATCTCATGTATATAACACCTTATTATTATACTTAGTTCTTATACATTTTAAACTTCTTTTTAAACTTCTTTTGCACCATTCAAGTTCCGGCAATATGGCGGTAGCCACATACACTGAGCCTGGGTTCTCCCAAGGTTTTTTTTCTCCATTCTGTCACCTGATGGAGTTTTGGTTCCTTGCCACTGTTGCCTTTTTCACTTCTCTTTGCCTTTGTCGCAAGTAACTGTCGTGTATTTTACAAAGATTTAGATGATTACGTTAATATATATATGCTAATATTTTTTTTATTTACAGTAAGTTTGATTTGAGTCAGAAGTATGTGTTAATTCTTTATTAATTACTAATGGGTTCCCTATATTGTCACCCTATACTGTTTCAGGTTCTAAGTAATTCCTGAAGGACTATCTAATAATTATTTATTAATTACTAATAAGTTCCTTATATTTTTACTTTAGAAGACTGTTTCAGGTTATAAGTAGCCTAATTCCTAGATAATTAATTTGATAATTATTTATTAATTACTAATGGGTTCCCTGTATTGTCACTTTAGAATACTGTTCCAGGTTTTAAGTAATTCCTGAAGAACTATTTAAAAGTTATTTATTAATTACTAATAAGTTCCTTATATTTTCACTTTAGAAGACTGTTTCAGATTATAAGTAGCCTAATTCCTAGATAATTATTTGATAATTCTTTATTAATTACTAATGGGTTCCCTATATTTTCACTTTAGAATACTGTTCCAGCTTCTAAGTAATTCCTGCAGAATTATTTGATACTTATTTATTAATTACTAATAAGTTCTCTATATTTTCAGTTTCCCTCAGTCGTTGCCTCAAATACATGAATTTACTCAGTGGCATTCTATGCTGAGGAAAACAGACACACACAGTACTGTATATAAAATATACAAATAATCTGAGGTTAGTTTTGTATGACTGTTCAGTAGTTACTTCTTAGTTATTTTTCTTGAACCTTAATTAGTAGATAATTAGTAGTAGTTCTTCAGGAGGTATGACAGAATTCATTAGTTATTGATTAACTAACTGATACTTAACACAATCATAAAATTATATTACATACTGATTAGTTAACACATCTTCCTTAGTAGTTAACAGTAGTGAAGAAGTAGTTAATGAAGAATTACCTATTAGTTCGTCAATAATTCCTTATTAATTCTGCAGTAAGTAAGATACAGTATTCTAAAGTGTTACCGAATTTACTATAATTTATACTTTTCATTTGAAACTCACAAATCTAAATGCCCTAAACCTACGCAGAGATCTAAGAAGCTCCATTACTGTAAAGTTTCTAAAAATATTCATTGGCAGTTATGAAACGACGAACCTTCTCACAAATTGAGCATTGTGTTTTCAATTGTTTTGCTGTAGTGTGTAATGATGTGTATAGTGTTTACATTTTTGAAAGCTTCGAGCTGCTCTTTTGGTGTGAAAGTTTGAATTTTGAAGGGAGAAGGTGTGGTTGTGTTTATGTAGCTTTAGTAAAGGGCGTTGTGTTTAGACATTGGAGAACATGGACGAAACGTTTGTGAAATGTGTTTTAGCATTTGAGAAAAACGGTAATATTTGGCCCCTGATGGGTACCAATTGAGGGGCAATGGGCTTTCGCCTGCCATTGTTGCCATTGAGAAGAGTGTGTGAATTATGCTGCAGCTGCTGTAGAAGCGCGCCAGCTGGAAAAGTGCACAGAGTAGAAAAAACTGCAGAGAACTAGAAATATATATATGAGCTAAAATTGGAAAACAGATGAAAGACAAAAGTCAAGACAGTGAAGAAAAAAATACAGAAAAGCAAATATTGGAAGGCAAAGAATATTCAAAAAACTGGCTTTGTTGTTGGCTTGGACACTCACCAGAGTGTGAGTGCTGTGACCCTGAGAGAGAGACACAGCCTCTGTTAGGCAGAAAGATAAGAAGGTATCAAATTGTTGAATGAGTGTGGTGAAAGTGTGTGAATGAAAACCCGGGTGTGTGAATGAATATACTAACAAACTAAGTGTTGTTTGGATTGAGATAAAGAACTAAGGAGGGATATCTTTTTATTTTTAATCTTTTGACGACTGAAGATAAGAACACATGTGGACCAGAGTGAGAGATCATTACGAGGCAGACGACGAAGACAACTTTAAACCGGCATTAAAACTAACCATTAAGGATCACTTCTGGTTTGAAAATGAGTTTATAGATGACGAAGGGCAGAGACAGGAGTAAACAGACCAAGGAAAAAATAGCTCTTTAAAAATTGACAAAGATCACAAATTTGAATCATCTTGAGCAAGAATGGCCCTTAATGGATTGGCGTGATGTGATTAAAAAATATATACATAATAAAAATAAAACAGAATACTCAGACCACACCTGAACAAATGTAACCTTCCAAAAAACACCCTTTTGGATTCACAGTTAACTACATTAGAAATAAAGATAAATCTATTATATATAACATACCTGAAAAAAAATGCGTGGTACACTTGGTCTCTGGGTTTGGGAGGAGCCACGATTTTGAGGAACATGTACATAGTGATTCCGGGGCCAGTACAGCAGGAAAATGACAAAATCGTTAAAGTCGGACAGGGAGGAGAAATCAGACCAGCACTGGTGGATAATTAGACTAGTTTTGAGAAGCAACCCCAACCATACCAGTGGGTAGAAATTCTAGAAGAAAAAAAAAATGTAATGATGGACAAATAGAAGGGAAAAATACACTGAGAAAAACAGCCTATTCTGAACAATAATTAGGCTTTCTCTATTCATTGTTACAAGGAAAAATAAAGTGTAAAAGTATGTGTGTGCGCATCAAATGCACAGATTAGGACTGTTTGAAAAATAATGATATTAATTTATGATATTCATTCATAAAGAGAAACTAAAATTATGAAAGAACACTTGTTTCCCTCTCATATAGCACAAGTAAACGGTGACTGTGATCTGAGAAAGAGAGGCAGAAAGGAGGGGCTGCCTCTGACAGAGAGAGGAGGGGCTGCAAAAAGATAGTGAGACTGTGTGTGTGTGTGTGAGAGAGATGAAGGAAAGGAGGGAGACAGAGAAATAATTCACCTTTTCTATTTCTGACTAGCTTATAAATCAGGGCCCGGTTCCCCGATAACGCTCACTCTTAGCGCGCTAAGAAGACTCAAAAAGATACATCTTACCTAAGTTGTATATGTTCCTAAGTGTGTTCCCCGAAGTGTCACTTAGGAAGCTTCTTAACTCGCTCCTCTTACATTCAACGTTACAAAGGCGCTGTCCCAAGTAAGGTGCTGAATTAGTTGGCATCGATTGCTCAGGAATCGATTTTCCACTTCACGCGAAGGTTTATTACGGAGTTAAGAAAGATAACGTTCTATGCAAATTAAAAATTTCTTCAAATTATTCGAGTAACATTTATTTTAACATTGTTTAAGTTATCAGTAAAATAGAGACTATTAATTAAATTACCAAATTGTGATATGTCAAAATGTTTGAAATGACGATCAAAGCAGAATGTTCACAGAAGCGCGAGCCACGCGGGAATCCCAATGTGAAGCTTCACGAGATAGGATGCAAGTGGCAAAACTAAACATCTATCAAAGCTCAGCTTCAGGTCAAAAGACTGAGAGAAGAAGAACGAGAGGAGATGGAGATAAGAGAGGAGAGGTAAAGCAATAGCCTATTGCATACTGTGCCCAGAATGAGAATAACTTTATTGCAATGGATTCCTATTTAACACAAATATACATATCCCAAGTTCTTTGACAATTACTGTGGAAAAATTATATGCCCCCGAACCCAAGATCACTTTTGGGACCTCTGTATTTATAAAACCCTGTGTGCACTATTGCAGACTTATTACTGATTTTTTTTTTAATTATATTATTTTACTGTAATATAAAATGGGGAATTAAAGTGGGCATGTGGGTAAAATGAGTCTCACTCCAGCCCTGAAACCTCTCACTCAAAGTGCAAACCTACACACCAAATCCATAATCTATATCTCAGCCTTTGACTAAAACACAAAACATCTAGCAGGAATTTACTTTTCTTTTCCAAACACACCAATCAACATGCTACAATTATTCACCAGGTCACACAAACACTCCTTATATGTGCAAACACTAATTGTTTTACTGATCACTAACCAATCACTGCTTTACTGTAGTATAAGCCTATAATAGGTCAAAGGTCAGGTTACCTGTTTTGAACAATAGATGCCAACAATGGACAGAGACCCCACAGACTCAATTGTGTCCTTTACTGTATTATAAAGAATATACTTTTGGTTTACATATGTTTATGGTTTTGTTGTATAATGTATACAACAGTAATGTTTGGCCTAATGAATATTTTCTGTTTCTAAATTGCATTGGTGAATACTGTCAGTGTACTTGTTACCGATCTCAGAAGACTACTTTCACTGTAGAACATTGTATTGATATAAGCGTATGGAAGACCAAAGAGCTTTAGATTTAGAAAAACAAAAAAACAAAAAAAACAATGTTTACATGGTGTATCAAAAAATGCACTAATAA